ACCCACCAAGCTGGCAAAAACCTAGCACGCCTCGTGGCCAAGCCCCCGATCACCAGCCACATAGCCAGTTAAATACCCAAACCGAGAGCCTAGTTGCTTAACTCTGCCCTCAGGTCCTTGCAACCTTCCCTTTGGTGATCATGGGATTTATAGTTCCCAGTGTTGTGGGGGTGGAGGCACAAAGTCGGTATGGAGTTTGCTCAGGACATCCTTTCCCCCCATCACTCCTTCCTCTCAACTGATGCTGTATAATTCTTGTGTCAATAAAAAGGCCAGGATCTTGCTTTTTGGCAGCATCCTGCATTGGAGTTACTACTGAGTTGTAAAAATTCTTTTCTAGTTGTGTTGAAATATACATGACATAGCTTGGTGTGAGTTTGAGTTGTAGATGTGTTGATTTGATGCACTTAAGTAATGCAAAGTGGATATCACCATGGTGCTAGGTGACATTCATCCCAACACATAATTATCTATTCTTTTGTATGGTGAGAAAATTCAAGATTTGTTCTTTTAGCAATTTTCCAATATATAATACAGTAGTATGAACAAATTGCCATGGTGAACTTAATAATATATATCAATAATATTAATAATATATATTAATAATCTTATAACTGGCAGCTGGAACTCTGACCAAGAGTTGTAGTAATTCTTAAAGATTCTGGCAGCAAGTACCTTCTTTGGCATATTTTGTGAATATTTTTTCCAGTCTTTGACTTGTCTATTTTCTCACTGGTGAAAATTAAAATTTAGATAAATTGTAATTTTCCAATGTTTTTCCATTGATAGGATAGGATGCAATATAGCTATGTATTATACTTATAGAAGCTTTATTTCATTTATTTTTTTTTAAAGATTTATTTATTTATATGAGAACTGGAGTACAGGCCAGAAGCGCAGGAGAGTGAAAGGATTCACCAGAGACAGAGAGGGGAGCAGAGCAGGTGGGTGTACTGAAATACACTGCTGAGGGGAGCAGCGGGCACAACAGGAGAGGTCTGCTGCCGCACCATGTGGGTATCTCCCTGGCTGGCCAGGAATCAAACCCACTCTGCAGAGGCTGTGGACAGCTTCACAGCACTGCGTTCCACCCCCTGCACCACTGGGGAGGTCCTGATCTATTTTTATTAATGGATACTGTACCACATAGATATATAGAATATAGATAGTAGTTACTGTGAGTTTTGTCTCAGAAAAATTTTCCTACCTAGGGTGGTGAAGATATTCTGTTTTAATCAGAAGTTTTTAACTTTATGCCTGTAACCTCCATCTGAATATTTTCTTATCAGATACATGTTGCATTTAATATTTGAAAAGCAACCAACTAAGGGAAAACATGTAGAAGTCAGTGTGATATGAACTGGCCTTGAAACCCAAGGTATAGATAGCTCTACCAAAGAAATGGGGGTCAGCTCCTAAGCTGACATTTAGCCTTTCTACCACAAGAGGGCACTCTGAGAGCAGGTCTTATACCAGCTGGTACAGCCTGCAGCAGGGATGTGGTGCTATAGACCCTGATGCCTGTGCAAATGTGGTATTGTAACAGGGTGGTCCCCAGGAAAGGGGGAGGTTCCCTGCCCCACCCAAGGGAGGGTGGAGCTGAGCAGGAAGAGGAGAAGCTGCAGAAGAGACTGAGGAAGGAAGGAAGCAGGATGGAGCCAGAAGGAGACCTGGAAGAGGCGCATGGAGCCTAGAGACACGTGAAGAAACTGCGCTTGTCTTTTGGTCGTGGACTGGGTGACACAGATGTGGGTGAGACCCGTGGGGAGGTGACAATGGCAGCTTTTATCTTGATGTTGATTTTGCTCTTTTCCTTCCGGGCTTGTCCGGTTGTTTGTGACCCTTTTCTGTGGGTCCCCACTGGAAGATGTTTTAGACTTGTGGTAGACTTTGGGGCCTTGTTCTGGGCCAATCCCATATGGATGGACTTTTACCCACGAGGGGACGGGTAACTTTGGGTGCTTCATTTAGAAACTAGACTCTTTGCCTTACCTGTGTTGTTTCCTAGCTTTATTAAAGTTCCTTCCCATTAAAGTCTCATGTGTTTTGTGTTGATGCGGCGGATGGCAGAACCCATTTAGAATAGGCAGGTTTGCGGGGTTTGGGCTGCCCCTCTCCCTGTCCTATAACAGTATCACCTCTCTGGCTGCAGAGGGAGGTTTGCAGATCACACATGGTCACCTGGAGAGGTGAGGAGCCTGGAGCAGTGGCATTCACCAAGCTGCAAAAGGATTCACCCCAACTCGTGTGTTTCGTTAGAATACAAACCTGGGAATGGGGCCGAGAGGGGTATAAAGCAGCCGAGGCAGAGGAGGAGGCACTGAAGGCAAGGAAACACCGGGACAGGTGTCCCTAGGTCAACAGACCCTGACCAGATTGGTACAGAGAGGCGTGGAGTCTCGGGAAATTCTGGCATCTGTGGTCACTCAGCCCAGTCCAGGCTGGGGGGGACGATGACCTACTTTCCAGGGGGACAGGGAAGAGCTTAGGTGACACCCCACTTACAGTTAGGTTAACTCGTGATTTGTGGTGAGACAGAGGTGGGGGTAGGGAATTTATCTGTGAGGAGTGACAGAAAGGTGTGTGCGTGGGGAGGAGGGCGGTATTCATGGTTCACCCAGGGTCAACCTGGTGACCCCAACAGTGAGACAGAGGGAGAAACACCAGGGACAGGAGTAACACTGAGTCTGGATCAGAAGACCTGGACACAAACTGTGGCCCTGAGGAGGAGCTGATTGGACCAGACAGAGTGAGGGAGCACATCCAGTTATGACTGAGTGTCACGTACCCCAGGGGGTCTGATCTGGGAGGCACCCATGGCAGTCCCCTTCCAGAGCACACCACAGTGGTGGTGCAATCCCTGATCCCTAAGCTGAGGGCCCCAGGACTTACTGGAGTGCTTGAGGGCCAGCCCAGAGTCAGGAACAGACTGGCAGGAGAACAGAGGTAGGACCAGCACACTGGGGCACCAGAAAGGACCAAATTCAGCCAATACCATGAAGGAATGTCCATGGGGCCTTGGAAGTCTCTAGAACCTCAGGCTCAGTCTAGGCTCAGAGTTATTTTAACCATTTGTGGGCTGGGCGCTGTGGAAATCATATCTCCCTTACTACAAGGACAGAGACACGGACTAGTGTTTCTTCACAAATACAGTGCCAGCACAGAAGGTGGTCAGGACGCCGCTGCTGGGCAATGAGCCCCAAGCCTGCAGAGTCCTGGGCTGGAAGACTGGGGCATAGCTGTGGATGGTTGCACTCCCTTCAGCGCTGGGTTCCTGCCACCACATTCAGGCAAACACAATTACCTTCTGGAGCGCTGCCAGAAACCTTACTAAGACCCATCCCGGATGCTCCCCCCCAGGACCCTTAGGGCTCTTGCTGTCCCTGCAGATGGTTTGAACTACATAACCAGTCAGCTCTAGCCCCCAGATTGACTGTCCCATCTTGGGTGGCCCGAACGCACTGCCCCTGTAGCATGTCTGATAGAGACCAGACACCCTGTGCTGTTTGTGTTCCTCCCTGTGCCTGGGATGTTCTTCCCTCTCCTGTTTACCTGATGAGCACTGAGTCATGCTCCCAGACTCTGCCCAAGCATTGCTTTCCTTATGAAGACTGACCTGGCCAGCTTCAACCTGGTTGCAGGTAGGACGCATGGCTGCAGTGACAGATGATATAGGATGTGACTGCAACTCTGTGCCCCCTTTCTTCCTTGCTAAGACAATTCTGATTTTGCCCACATATTTATCCCTCAGCAAGGTGACTTTCCCCTGCTCAGGTTAAACCCAAGAGAGACCAAGCCAAACCTTGGGACCCTGTCAGCATGAAACCAACACTGGTGGGCATGGTCCTGGTGTGGCTAGTGCCCCTGTGCCCTGCTGGACCCTGACCGGAGGTGGGAGCTCCTTCAAAGGGCTCAAACAGGGACGGACTCTGTGGGGCTTGGCAGTGCAGTGGCAGAACCTGAAACAGAGAGAAGCTGCCTTCTCCCTTTACATAGTTATAGAACTATTTTGATTCAGGGGCATCCACTAAGTTTCCTTCCTCTGGGGAGTCCTTAAGGCCCAGAGCATCTTCTCAGAGACAGAGATGATGAAGGATCAGCTCAGTGTCTCTGGCCTAGGAGGTCTTCTTGCCCCAAAGTCTGTCCTTTCGTTAGTTGCTTCCATTTAAAAATATTCACTGAGTGCCTGATTTGTCTAGGCACTGACTTTTTGAAGTGAATGACATCAAGACCTTAAAAGGCTCATAGCTTTATTGAGCAAGATACCTAAAGAGATAATTTCCTAATGAAGCCAGAAGGGCCGTGTTCTGTGTAACTGACGTCTTAACTGCCAACAAGAACCCCCACTCTAAAAGGAATCCATGAAAAGCCACTGGATAGTTCACAGATCTCTGTGCAGGGTGAAATCGCTGTCTCAAATCGTGCAAGAGGACTGACTCCAGACTCTCGAAAAGGAAGCTTGAAAACTAGATTATGTTCAGAGGACGTGGCCCCAACTGGGATCTAGAAGGGGCTACCTGTCCAGGTAGCAGAAATGTCACTGGGAAAGAACAACATTGGCCACAGGTGGCAGGCCCAGAGCAGTGGCTCCAGGGGCAGAGTTTGGCTGAGTTGATGGAAGAACTACTGATCACACCTGTTGGAAAAAGACTGGCCTGTCTAAGCAGGGCTTGAGTTGCCACCCCTTGAAGCAGCCAGCAACAGCAGGGGACCTCCCTGGGCAGATGCCTCATAAAGGGGAGGCAGGTGGGAATGGGAGCACATGGCTTTTAAAGGCCCTCCAGCTCAGATATCAGGGTTTGGGCTTTAGATCTGGAGGCACATAGAAAGTATCCACACTTCCAAGAGGTCGGGAGGGGCCACATTCACTCAGTGTCCCCACGGAAATGCCCACCTGGTGCTCAGCTTTGGCCACCCCAAAAGCTTTTTAAAATTTCATGGATGCCCACAAATTAAATTGGTCCCACTTGGTCACTGCTAAGAACCCCAGGACCCTTCGATTCGAATGTTCAGATCTTTATTATTCTGAAGTCCGCAACACGACCTCTCAGCTTCCCCAGCGACCAGGGGCCGTTGTCATCTCTTATCAGCTGGGGTAAGAGATGCTACATGCTTGACTCCCAGAAGAAAAGGGCAACTAATCTGACCAAGGACTGGAGGAGGTGGAGCCGCTTAGAACATGGTGCCTTGGTTAGGACATCGATTTGAGCTTGCTCTGCTAGGATGACGGTAAGAGAAATTTTCTTCTACTCAACCCCTGACATTTTGAGATGAGGCTGGTGGGTGTTGGTGGCATCTGGTCGGCCCAGTTAAATGTTTTCCTTCCTCAGCTGCTACGAGTATATTCTCTGAAATAAACAGGCTCTCCTGCCTTCTCACTGGTCTCCCGAGAGGGAGCTGAGATGCTTATTTAAACTCCTACTCCTTGGGCCTTCCCTGCAGGTAAGGACTAGTAGATGGGGTGTGGCCGAGTATCTGTGTACCTTGTGCTCAGGTGACTCTGTGGCTAGATAATCTTGGGAAGCTCCTGTGTAGGAAGGAAGAGTCGACCTTAAACCCTTGCAGGCCCCTTCATGCCCAGGTATTTGTTGGACCAGAGACAGGCTAAGGTTGGCAATGTGCTCACACTAGGAATTGGTTTGAGAAGAGAGTGGGGTGAGGTGCCTCAGGCTGATTCCTCCCCCTGGGTCTGAAATATTGTTTGGAAAGTACTGGAAGCTGGAGATTGAAGATTGAAAGATTTGCTGTGTCCCCTGTTCTTCCCCCACCCCCATCTGTGGCCAAGTTCGAATAAGCAGAACTGGATGGTTCCAGCTTCTTGGCTTTTGCTCTTGTCTCAACCTTCAGGAGTCGCTGCCCACCAGGTTCAGCAGAGCATTCTTGTAGTCACCACTGGTGTCTCCCTGCAGACAGGAGGGACAGGAGAGTTAGAAGGGGGTGCTGTGATGTCAGCCTGGCTGGGAGTCACCTCCATTGAGAGCAGCTGCTCTTAGTGCTGGGAGTCATGCAGCTGCATCCCTGTGCAGGCTCCTGGGCCCAGGTCCCCGCCTGTGTCACCCATATGTCCTGGTTCTCCATTTCAGGCTATTCCTTTCAATATTCTGATTTTCTCACTGATAACAGGGGGGACTTAATGTGTAATATGAATCACAGAGACAATGTGCTTTTGAGATATGAAGGTTTCTGGGTGGCTCCCTCGGCTCTCCTCGGGGCCTTATCCATAGCCCATTTGGAAACCAAGTGCCTTTAGCCATTCATTTTTCCATCAGTCAATGCTACTAGTGCAGATTAGGGACCTGAGGCAGGGTCTCGGGGCCACCCTGGAGGCAGGGGCTCAGGTGGAGAGAGCTTCCTTCGGCTTTGGATCACACACCACCTGGACCATAGCTCCTTCACTCCCTGACGCTGTAACTGAGGCAAGTCTCTTCATTGTCCTGAGACTGGGCCTCTCCTCTATCAGATGATGTTGATGATGAGATGAAACCTGCTGAGATGTGGGAGGCAGGAGAAAGGCAAGCTTCCCTGCACAGCAGCTGGCTCACAAAGGGGTCGAACAGTTGCCACCTTCCACAGGTCCAATCACTGAACCACATTTCTATGGCCTACCAAGCCCCCTTAGCTCTCAAGCAGGTCCTTATAGGACTGACTGGTCAAGGCATGTACAAGAGCCAGGGGGAACGGAAGAGGCCATCTCGTCCAGTCTCCTTTTCATGTGCTTCAATGAAATGGGACCAAGATGGGGAATGGATTATCCAAGGCCACTCAGGGAGTAACTGGGAGGATTGAGGTTAGTTCACTTTTTTATGCCCTGCTGAAGTTTTTGTCTCCTGGGAATTATCTATTCCGTGATTGTTCAGTCACATTTGCTTATAAAATCATTCAGATTTGAAGTTTTCTTATAGCTTTTAAACACATTTTGAATTTCTTTTCCCTTTTTATTACTTATAAGATATTTTTTTAAATACAATTTGCTTTTAGAAAACCATCTTGTCTACCTTTTCAAATGTATGGGGACACAGAATTATACATTCTTCTATTCATTTCTATGCAGGTGTTTAATGCTGCTATCATTGTTGGAAATCATTTTTGCTTTGATGAAATCTACAGAGTGGTCTGTACTGTAAAGAAAATATTTGGTTCATTATTCATAATTTCAGTTGATTTTTCTTAAGTGACAAGGCTTGGACTTCATGTATATCTAGATAAGGGGCTATGTTATTGATAATGTGCTAACTAATCAGCTAAGTTTATCTCCATCATGAGGTCTATGCTTTAGATGGGTCAAAGTCATCATTTTCACTCAATAGTGTTTTTGTTGTTGTTGTTGTCTTCTGAAACAAGTCTGTTGCTCTAATTGGAAGGATGAGAAGTACTAGAATGCTCTGTGATGTCCTAGAAAGCATGCATGATTGAAGGGCCTCATGACACGTGGCTGGGGCTGCCTGTTGGGAAAGATTCCTGAGCTGACACAGCAGTAACCTGGGCTGGGGTGTGCTTAGTCCTCCTATCTTTTGCCATGCCTGACTGGTGAGCTTAAAACAATGCAAACAATAATTCTACCCTCCTCCACCCCTACCTGTGTATTGTTCCACTCTGAAACATCCTGAAACACATGTCTTTTTAACACATTACAAGCTATGTGTTTCTTGGAAAATATAGTTAACAGTAGATCTTTGTAGAATAACTAGAAACTTACTAGCCAGTGAAGTCTCTGGGAGATATTTCTCATGATTCCACTTCTGTTACAAAACTGTCAAGGCCTCAATTTGTGTTAATCACTAGAAGAGCAATTTCTCTCCCAATTATGGCAGTGTGATCTTCACTCTGTGTTTTTTTCAACTTCAGAACTTTCACTACTGCAATCTGGTTAGGCAACCCACTGGAGCCCATCTGATTTATCTGCTTACAAATCTGTTGTCAGGACTACATAAATCAGGATTTTAATACTAGGCCTTAACTTTTACTGTTTCCTCTCAATGACTTTTTAGGTATGGCTCTTTTTGCAGGATTTAGAGTGTTGTTTTTAAAAGGTGCACACATAAGTCGAATGCAAAGCCACTTTTCTAGGCACAGAGTATAGGGACCCCCCAAATCTGGTCTCTCTGCCCCTCCCTCCTTCCCCAGCCATACTGACCTGCTTGCTAATCCCTGTACCTACCTCATGGCAATGAATACAAGATCGTGACATCCACAGGGAAAGGATAGATACCTATGACTTGAGACATTGGTCACCCAGTAATGTCTATTTCAAACTGATGCTAAAATTGGGGACTTATGGCTTACCATGATCATGCTGCTGAGGGTCTTGCCATACATCTTCTTGAACTGATTCTTGATAAGATTCAAGTCAACCTCACTCCGTGAAACGATGTTTCTTATCAGGGTACCATCACGTGTCCCTGCTCCCTGGATAAGATACAGCTATCAGTGGCCACTTCCCACCTTTCTGGTCCATCTCTGAGATGATGGACAACTCTGTGCTGTGGGCTCATGGTGGGGGAGATGTTGGAATGAACCCCTGCTAAAGCAGGTGTTTCAGCACTAACAGGGAGGCCTTGGTGGTTCAGGGCTTCCATTCCCTAGTCTCTTCTCAACTCCCCCTACATCTCTTCTTTTATTAGAAGGCAAATGCCCCAACTTGTAGTATGTGTTTGGCTCAGATTCTAGACACAAAATACTCATTGCTTCAGGATTAAGACTATTTTCTAGGGCAACATCATCATGACATTCAACTTAAATGCCAACTCAAGAGCAGGAACTTCCTGCTCATTTCACCATCCTTGACCAGTCGCATGTCAGATGGAGCCACTTGGCCAAGGGAACTCCATGGCTTCTCTCATGTTCTATCCAGAGAGCTTGTGCTTCTTGTTTTGGGTGCTGTCAATAACCCAAAATGTAAAAGATGGGAGCCCACTTCAGTCTCAGGAGTTACTCTGAATGTCTACCTTCCAATTTGGTTCCATGCATCAGAAATTTCACCTGCTATGAGTGGCTGGGACATCGCTCTTTGTGGCTAGAGTAGCTTCTTGGACCACAGACAGACCCACGTTAACAGCCTGGCACATGTAGGAAAGCGGAGTTGCTTTGTGGGGCCATCTCCCACTGAACTTGTCTGTTTAAAGGGGCCTGGACTTCCTATCAGTCCTGACCTGTGTGCTCTCAAGAAAGCCATAAGGGGGCATGAGCAGGACTGCTGGATTGGCTCGGCTCAAGCAAGGCTCTGTTACTTACCAGCTGTGTGACCTTAATCACAAAATTTAGTTTCTCTATCTCTAGGATGGCACCTATGACGCAGGTTTCACAGGCTTGTAAAGGTTCAGTCTAGTGAACACGTGGGAACGCACCTACTGAAATCCAGCCTCAGGACACGTGGCTTCTCTTTCCCACCCTCGGTTTGCCCTCTGAGAACTAAAACCATCTGATCGCAAGAGGTTGGGATAAGAGAAGACCCGAGTGTGAAATGGCAGTGACTCTTAGCTCCGGACGTGCAGTCGGTGTTGGGTGGGGCCGAGAGGAAAGGGACAGAGGACACAAGAGTCACCTTCATGGCATAGTGAAGCCTCTCCGCAAAGTAGCTGTGGATGTTCCGGGTGCACTTCACTGGAAGACAGGAAAGCTCTGTTAACAACTAGGGGCTGTAGGCAGCATTGTGTACATGTTTATTTATTGATGTCTTGCCTCAGGATTAAGGGATAGCACTGTGCACGTCTTGGCATGTATGTTCATACCCTGCTTAGTTAGAGAGGAGAGGCTTTGTGTCAGGTAGGGCGGGCAGGAAGGAAGCTGGGGCACTGGGCACAGGTGGAAGGGCACAGAGCAGCCCCTGTGCTCTCCCGAGACTAGTCTCTAGCATTCAGTGTCCCAGTTCCACAGAGGAGCCACAGTTGTGGTCACTGAGTGCCCACTTTACATGTTACTTCTCAGCAAGTCCTCTGCAGTTTGATTCCCCCTTGCCAGGTGGGGCTCGGCTGTGGGGCATGAAAGCACAGGGGTATCTGGTCCAGAGGGCAGCCTGGGCTTGCTCTCGTGGATGCTGCTTCCAAGACTCAGCATCTGTCCACACCCCACTTCAGTGGTGCCTGTGATTTTGTTACTGAACACTTTGCCTCGCTCTGTCCTCCTCTAGGAACTGAATGACATGAGCCTTCAGTGAGGGGAGGGATGGGACGTGCTCTGCACAATAATGCACACCTTCCCTTTGCCCTGCCTGGAGATGTTATTCAGGAGGTGTTCAAACCGGATCCAGGGGCTGACTGTGGCCTTTGAGAGTGGGGCAGGGGTCAGAGCTGCCCGGGGAGTGTCAGCTGCCCCCGCCCTCCCTGGGAGACTGAGTCACATCACAGAACGGCCCCGGCTGCTGGGCAATGGGGACGGTCTGTGTGGAGGTGTATGCCCCGCCCGGGGCCTGGACTATGACTCCATCACAGGGGAAGGAGGGTGGAGGTCTCTCGGTTCTTGACTCTGCAATGGATCGTCTCATTGGGATGTCAGATCTGAACCCCAACATGTGCTCCAGAATGGGTCCTTCTAAGTGGACTTGATCTCATGCTCTGGGGAAGGTTCTCAGCGGTGCCCAGCGTCAGACCATCAACCACTCAGTTTAGACTCATCGTCATTTCATCAATCAGCAAAAGAGGCAGAGCCCAGAGAGGTGACTGTTTCTTGGGGTTCACAATCAGAACCGGAATGTTCCCTCTTTGGCAGGGCTGGGTCTGGCATGGCCCTGGTGTGAGCACACACGTCCTCATCCACAGTCCCTTGTGCTCACACGCCCACGCCCATGCCCACTGCACTGGGCACTACGTGGGCAGCACAGAGACAGTGCCGGGAGGGACACGGCACATGGGAAACAATAGAGGGAGGCCAGTCCCAGTGTCCTGGCCTGAAGGTTACAGGCTGAGGGAGGGCTGGGTGGGGTGGGGGTGGGGCCCTTGAACAGAGGAATCCAGTTACTTCTTACTATCCTGGGCCCTTTACCCTCTGGGGCTGCCCCGCCGCTGAGCCCCTTGCCTTATAAACACTTGGGACTCTGAGCTGCTTTCCCATCTCTTACCTACTGTGAGCATGGCCTCCTCCAGCGAGCCGTGCGTCTCACTCCTGATGCTGTCCTCAATGCTCTTGTTGGCGATTTTCTCATATTCCTCAAACACTGGGAGAGAGGACTCCTCTTAGGGGACAGCTGGACCTCAGTGTGATGCTCCTAGCATTTCTCAACCGAGACTGCACTTTGGTGCATCCTCCCCGCACCCCCACCCCACCCCCGCCCCATCCACTTGGTGGCCTGGGGAAAGGCCCAGGGCAACCTGGCTCTCTCCCCAACTCAGTGAGACCACATTCTGGATATTCAGGATGAGGGGAGCAGCCCCGAGGCCGGGGGACCCCTGTGGCCCTGAAGGCCTTGCCTGCCCTCCCTGGTACCTCTCATCAGGTGCGTGGCACTGCGCGTGCACAGGATGGTGATGAATTTCATCTCATCTGTCCCGTGAATCTTCTCGCCCGCTGCGTACAGATCCTGGCATCGGGATACCCACAAGCCAGTGAAGGGGAGCAGGGAGGTGAAGGACAGAGCCCAAGTCCCAGAGCTGGGGCTGAAGGGTTAGTTCCCATGTACCCTCAGGTCAGCTTGGCCTCTCCCAGGTGGTGTCTGATGGGGAGCTGCTGCCCTGGGGTGGTTAAATTCTTTTTTTCTATCCTGAGTCAGAAACTGCTCTAGGGACCTCACTCTTCCACCTCTGGGGCTTTGCTCTGTACCCCCTGAGCATTCTGCAAGCAGAGCTGCAGAGAGGTGAATCCACACCTTGGAGGCCCAGGGTGCAGAGGGCTCATGGCCCTGTTCTTGCCAAGATGGAGCTTCAGTAAACCCCACTCCTTCCTGCTTTTGAGTCTTCCCAACATCCCCACTTTCCTCCAGAGGGTCAAAGCCTGTGGAAAGCTGAGTTGAGTGCCAGCCTAGCATTGGAGAAAAACCCTGGGGGCAGAGGGATTGGGTGAAGCTTCCAAGTGTCAGTCCCCGAGTCCATACAGAGGGTGGGGGGGCACACGGCTAGCAGGGCTGGAGCCGTGAGCATAGAGCCTCACCTGTGCATCTTGGAGGGCCAATGCGGGGTCCACAAAGCCACTCACGTCATCCCTGCTGCCCTGGGAATAGAAGAGGGAGCTCTGCATACAGGCTGGTCCTCAGAGCAGCCTGGGAGCCGGGCAGGAGGGCAGGCAGGGCTCTGCTAGCTGCAAGCTGGTTATCCTCTGCCCGCCTCAATCTTTTCATCTCTAAGATGAGAGGAAGGGCTACCTCACAGGGAGCTAGGGGATTCAAGGAGCTTAGGTAAGCATGTACCTGGCATGAATGACCTACTCAGTGAGGGGAGTTCTCCTGTACTTCTGGGGTGCCCTTATGTGGCTGTGTCAGGAGAGGTATGGGGGGCTCAGCCATGAGGACCCCCCAACCACACTGAGGCATCACCTCTGAACACAGGCCACTGGGGCTAGCTTATCCCCAAGCTGCCCCTTTCCCTCCTCACCTCCCAGCAGCTCTGAACAAGAACTGATCTCTGGGGTGGAGCTGTTGGGGTTGCCCAGACAAAGAACTCTGAAAAGCTAGGGCTGATACCTGCAGGAGGCACACCAGGATCCTCTCCAGGTAGCCGCTTGTGTCTGCCTGAATGTCTTCTTCCAGGCTGGACCCGTATTCTGCAGGGGACAGGATCAGGCAGCTTGTACCAGATTTCATCCTCCTAGTATTGTTTCCCTCACTTTTCTAGATTAAAGTCTTCTAGGAAGGGTGACTCCCTGGCATGGGGAGTGGATGCAGTGCCCTGTTGTCTGAGTTGCAGAGGCTGTCATCTCGCAGTTGTGCAGAACTAGTATATGACAGGTACTGTCAACACACTTGAAGCACCACAGTGGGCCAGGCTGGAGGGCCCAGCCAGGGGCTGCCCAACTGGTTTCTGTGTTCCAGTTGGTGAAGCCAGCACCTGCAGGAAGCTCTCCACTAGGCTCGCCGTGTCTGCTTCCTTACACTGCAGACGTCAGTGTAGCTGGCCTCGTCTGCCCCTGCCCCCTCCCCCACTGCACTGAGGCCTGGCGGGCGGGCTTGTGTCACCCTCTGGGTCATCAGTGCCTGACTAGGAAGGAGCTAGCCTTGTCCACTGCTGATGTGGCCTGTGGTTCACAGTGTTACCACACCCTCAGGGGGCAGAGAGTTTAGTGGGTGCACACTCCTCGCTTCAGCAGCTTTGGGGACTTAGAGAGTGAACTGAGTCATGTCTGATCTTGCCAACAGGCACAAGACTTGGCATGCAGGAGGAGCTTAGTACCCATGTGTGGAAACCCAAGGGAGGGTCCCTGACAGTGTGGCCCAGTGCATTGCTGGTCCCTGCTAGGCCACCAGAACGTGTGGTCATTCCCAAGTGAACCTTTAAGTCAGGCCTCTTACCCTCCTCATATGCCTTCATTATCTCCCGCAGCTGGTTCTTGGTCCTTGAAGCCAGGATTTCGATGATGACGCCCTCTTTGGTTCCTAAGCCCTGGGGATAAAAACTTGTGTGTGCTGGAAAGCCTTCCTGTGCCGTTCAGCTCCCTCCACACCCTCTTGGTCAAGAGATCTGAGCCTCAGGAAGAACTGGCACTGCTCAGCTCCACCCTGCTAGGGCCTCTGCTGAGGAGGTGACCAGGCAATCCTACTCTGGGCAAGTGGTGTGACGGAAAACCTCCATCCCAGCTCTGCCCTCCACAGCGCGGCTCTCCATGGGTCACTCCACTGCAGAGATCCCGGAGCTCTCCGTGCCAGGCTTTCTTGGGAAAGGAGTCGGGTCCTCATAACATGTGGCCCTACCCACCCCACCTGCTCCATTACCTTCATGGCATCATGCAGCTCCTTGGCTTCATATCTATATGGCGGGCACATGAGGGCCGTGATGAGTCTCTCGAATTTGCCACTCAGCTCCGACCTCAATGTCTCGGTGAGGTCCTAATACAGGAATCAGGAGGATCGAGGATCTATATGCTGCACCCACCCGAGTTGGTGGGGCCCAGAGACCTTAGCTGGGTTCCCAAGTGGGCTCTACCATGCACTGGTGCTGGCTGTGGCTTCCTAGGCCAGCCACTTGGCCTACTAAGCATCATCACCTTCCTGTCAAGTGGGGAGAACACACTCCCTCAGCAACCTGGTTGCTGAGGGGCTTGCGGGAACACATGTGGTTCCACTCAACTCTCAGCGCAGCCCCGGGCACATCATAAGCCCGGAGTACATGTCCACCATTGCTCCCCATCAAATCCCTGTCATTTGGCAAATGCACTTTGGTTTTTCCCATGGAATGTTTGGGGTTTATCCGTCATCTTTTCACGTTAAATCTCCAAATGAGTGATGTGCCATGGCAGAGGGACTGGTATGTTCTCCTTTGTCTGTGCTTATCCTGAGTTTACCTGGCACCCCCAAAGCTTGGCTCTGTCCTGAGGCTGGGGACAGAGAGAGGGGGGACCAAGGGTCCAGGCTGCACAGTGGGCACATAAGGACCACACAAGGGCCAGTTTTCTGGACCCTCAGTCCTGACCTTCTCCACCACCATGCATTCAGAGGACGGTTCTTCAGGTGGGAGGGCACAAGTAGCTCCAATATGAGGACTGTGTGCCTAGGCCAGACAGGAAGCCCCACCTGCATCTTCAGGTGAGGAAAGTGAAGGCAGTTCCTGTCTGAGAACAGGATGAGCCAATCTCAGAGGCAGAGAAACAGCTCATGGATGGTGCAGTGAAGGGGAAGGAGCACAGTGAGAAAATGGGCAGGGAGGATGGTAGGTGACTGAAGACCCAGAGGGTGTGGACAGACATAAGTAAGTTTTCCACTAAAACACAAGACAGCTAGTTAATTTTGAATTTGAGGTAAACTATGCATCCTTTTTTTGGAGGTAAGTATGTCCCATAAGTCCATGTTTCCAGTGGTTTGACTGCTAGAAAAGGCCCTCGCCCAGAACGGAGTTGTCTCCTAGGTTATCTCTGGCAGCTGCAGTTGCCCCAGGCCCAGCATACCTGCCCACTTAAACACCAGTACTCCAGTGCCCCTTACCTTGCCGAACTGAGCCTTGAAGGATTTGGCAATCTGCTGCCGCTGCTCATTGCTTCTCCGTGTGAGCACGTCGGTGATGGCCTGCTCATTGGTCCCTGCAGGGGTGCACAGTGTGAGCAGCCCCACTGCCCCCTGGTGGGATGGGGGTGCTGGGGAAGCCTTTAAAGGAGGTTGGGCAGCTGCTTGTTAGTTTAGTCATGGGGACCCACCACCTGTACACCTCCAAACCTGATGACTTTCAAGATGTAGACAAGATACCTAAACAGAAAGTCCATCCTTCCACGCCCCCCTCCACCCACCAACATTGAGGCGGAGCACAGGCCCAGACTCAAGTGCTGGAATGTGAGGACCTGCTGGTCATCTGGTCTGCTCTGGATATGGCCGGGGACTTTGGAGCTGGCAGAGTGAGACCCCTGCCCTGTTTTGTGTGGGTGGGGGCAGGGGAAGGTCAGGACTGAGGGGTCAGAAAACTGGGTTTTAGTTCCTGTCCAGCAGCTTGACCACCCTGTCTTCTGCTTTCTCATCTGAGAAGTGGAGATAATAGTAAATCTTGGATGGGAGGGAAGTAGAGGAAATGAACATGCTTTCTAGATTCTTCTAGAATGGTGCTTCTTGTTAATGCACCATTTGGCCATTCTGAGCCAACAAGGGATAACCCCTTACTGGGGTAACAGTAGGAGGGCTCTCTGGGTCAGCTATGTAAATCCCAGGGGCTCATGTCAGCCCTTTCCTGCTCACAGCACATGGGAATTTGGGTACTGGAGTCAGGAAGGAGGGGCCGGCCAACCTGGGGAGGGGAAAACTCCCAGAAAGTCCACAGCTGATGCTCCCTGAGCACAGTTTAGTTGCTCGAAAATTCCATCTCCTCTGTAGCAGATGCTATACCAACATCATCCCATCACAAATTCACAGTGGCATGCAGAGCCCCCTGTTCTTGGGGACATATTATAAGTGACAGAGCCCATCCTGAGCGGGGTGAAGATGCCTGCCCAGGGTGCACAGCAGATGCCCCAGTCACTCCTCAATTATTCAAGGAGGGGCATTGTGCCCCCTCTCCCCCACCCTCGCCCCCAGTCTTGGCGTTTAAGTATAGACCGGTGCTAGATCCAGAAGGTTGGATCTGTGTGATGCTCTGTGTGTGTGTATATGGGGTCGGTTACAGAAGGTTATGGGGAGAGCCTGACTCCTTGGCTGTCCCTGGTTTCCCTTCTTCAGGTTTGTGAGCAGGAGGGCCTGAAGCTTCAGAGTCACAGTGTTGCCAGGGCAAGACGTGGCTACGTGGCTGCCAACTCACCAATCCCTTTCATGGCTTTGTAGAGGGTCTCTGCATCCGGGTCTGGGTTGAAGTGGGGGCTGCCCTTCACTGAGACACTCTCTTGTTCAATCTGCAAGAGAACCCAGCCTGCTGAGAGCGGGAAGGGGGAAAGGCGTTGCAACCTCCCAGCTAACCTTGGCGCCCACCTGGGCAGAATGGACACCATGTGTGCCCTGCAGGCTCCTGGCTGAGCCTCCAGTCCTTCCTGGCCCTGCCTGGTTTGGCTTCCCCTGCCTCGGGTGACGGGAGGGCTGAGATGTCCTTCATAGTCCAGGGCCACATCTTCTGGCTATGACAGTTGCTAGCAGATATGTGCTAAGGAGTGCCTTTGTCCTCTCTGCTCCAAGTTGCCACATTATTCTCATGTTGTTATAGGGCAGCCCATCCTTTTCCCCCTAACAATGTCAGAGTTGCTGAGGCCCCATGTGCCCATGAGCCACCTTGGCAAGGAGGTGGCCTGTCCTGCCAGCTCAGCCCTCAGGCTGAAAGGAGACGCCACCTGAGGAGGCAGGGCTGAGAGGGCTGAGAGGGTGAAAAAGACGGAAACCCAGAGTCCCTGAAAGACAGAACCCCAGAATCAAAGGTGGGGACTCAGGATTTTGGGCAAAGACCTCAGAGGCAGCCAACTCTGTGCTCTGTCCTGAGCCACCAGGTTCACTGTGGGCTGTAAAGGGGGAGTTTCAAGAATGGATGGTGGTGCTGGAAGCAAGGAGGAGGGAAGAACCAGGGAGAAATCTTGGGAAGGGGCCTGCACAAGAAAGGACCAGAGGGGTTTGGGGGCTTTCCCCCAATACCATGAGAGTACAGCAATGGTTTACTGGGGTTCAGGGCACCATACATCCAAGTCTGTGCTCCCATTCACTGGTTGTTATTGGAAGATCCTCTCTATGCCGTAGTTTTCCCTCCTTTGACCTTCTTGGGTCTTTTGTGAAAAGGTTCCTGAGACTGGGGAGATGTCCTGGGGTGATGGGAGCTTGAGAGAAGTAAGGGCACTGCAGGCTATGAGGGAAAATGGGAATGGCACAGCCTCCCATAGGAGGAGGATTTTGTGGGGTTGGGCAGGAGAATGGTGGCTCTGAGTCCTGAGCAGGCCTGTGACTTCTGACCAGTCACTGGGAGGTATCAGCTGTGCAGGAATCTACTTGACAAGTGAGGAATGTCAGGATACCTGAGAGACTGCTGGCCTGGCTGTGAGAACTTGCTGGTTTCCTTCTAGCTCTCCTGGGCCACTGCATCTCCTCTACAGAGAAACTGCTCAGTTAATAGAGTGGCACCAGTGAGAACCACAGCTTGCAGGAAGAAGCCACAAAAAACCTCCTGTCCCTCCCCCTGCCCTGGGGTGTGGACTCTGGATCAGGCGGGGTCTATCCTGGCCAGGGTCGGGTGAGGGCAGGCTGTAGTCCGGGCCATCCCCGGCTTCCTCCAGCACCTTGGGCTGGAGACAACAACCCACTCAAAGCTACTAGGATAATGAGCAAGTGAGGGTTGCAGAGAGCTGAAAAGGCTGCCTGGAGAGTGTGCAAATGAGGTGGGCAAGTGTTGAGCTCTTCCTGCCTGTGCATACAGTAAGTCCTCACTCAAAGTGGCCAATAGGGACTTGAGAATTACAACTTTATGTTAGGCAACATGTAATGGGAGTGGGTTTTGAATAACATTTTATTAAATATCAGATTGTTTTCTTTTCTCACTGACTTTATACCAAAACATTGGAGAAAAGAATGCAATTCGAAGACCTGCTGTACTTACAAGAGAGAACCAGGCATCAGCTGAGCCTCCTGACCTCTCAGGACATTTGCAAATCCATAGCCCAAGGGGTAAGGCGGGGCTCAAGAGTTTTGGTTTAGAAAGAGCTGCACAATACTTCGAAAACTGTGAAATGAACCGGATAACCAAAGTACTTTGTTATCCAAATCCAGGGCTTGCTTGGGAACCTTGAGATTTGTGCCCTGCGGATATTCCCAGATGTCCATGAATAATCTGTCTTTGGGAGAGGAATGGTTGAGGAATGGAGAGAGCTGGGAGGTGGGCACTGAATTTAATGGAAATTCAGAGATCCTGCAAGTGGAAAGGAATTTAGTTGTGGCTTGTCTTTTCCCTAGCTTGTTCATCTACCCTTTCTTTCTGTTCCTCATTTACTCTGACCTTTATCCACTCTCCCACCCACCAACCCACTTCTTCACAGTCTTTTCTCCACTTGGCTTCCTCCCTCTCTCCCTCCCAAGCCTTGTTTGGATCCTAAAAACACACAGTGGATTTCCATCCATGGTATATCTGGAAGATATTTATTTTGACTAAGAGGTAAGAAGTCTTTTCATATCTTTTGCTTGAATTTCAACTATCGCTGCCAGAATTTCAAATATCGCATCTCATTTCTTAGCATTGTGTTTCACAGCAGAAGTTGTTCTTTGTGGAAATTCCATCCAGAGCTCCTGTGCAGTCCTGGATGTTATTTAACTGTGAGCATGCCTTCCTTGTATCCCATGTTTATGGGGCCACTAGCTGCTCACTTCTGTTGGTGATTTGAGCTCCTCCCATGTCCAGGACCATACTTCGGTGCTTTGGATGCCATGTTCTCTTCCCTGACCTCTTCTGAATGTCCCTAGTGAGTGGTAGTGTGGGTTAGAATCTGAGTAGCATCTCACCAGAGTCTAAACCTTGAGTACCTCAGTTGCCATGACCCATGGGGAGCTGACTTGGGGAGACTTTACAGACAAGGGAGTTGAGTTTGGAGTGCTTGCCAAGCCACACAGCTAGCAAGTGGTGGTGCCAGGACTTACCCCACAGCCTGACTCAGAAGCTAAGCTGTCTACTTATGACTCAACTTTTCCCAGACAATGAACTGGAACTTTTCAGTGAAGGAAGCCTCACCCACAGGAATGTGAGTCATCTGGGAGCCTGGGGGCACCTCAGCTCTCCTGCTGAGCTCTGTGGGTCGTTCTGAGGGGTCTCCCTTTACCCCCAAGCAGGCACTCAGCGGCTGTGCAGCAATGACAGGGATGCGTGTCTGATTTGCTGTGGAATGGCCCAGTCAGCAGTTCTGAGGTAGATGTGAGGTCTGTTTGGGTGGCTGTTTGCAAACAGCTCCCTAGGGAGTTGTGATTTCACGGTATTGGTAGATCTTGGCCTCACTTTCCACTCCATGGTTTTAGGGGGTAACAGGGACAGTTTTCTGGGACTTAGGCCCCTTGACATCAGCACGGAGAAATGGAGCACTGGATCTCCCCATGTGAGATGCCCCTGCGGTTGGAGAAAGAGCTGCCTAGGCTCCAGCAGTCCTAAAAGGAACATTTTCACAAAAGATGACTCAGCCCAGCCTGTAACTCTACACTTAATAACGCTTTCTGTGGCAGCCACAGGGGAGCTGCATCACCTTTGGCTTCCGCCATCACAGGGCTGCCCCAGAGAACCTCTCCACAAGAGAGGCACAAATAAGGCCCCACCCCACCCCACACGTGGGTCTCCACTAACTCATCTTTCCTCCCTACCCAGTGCTTGTCTTATGCCAACATGGTGCCCAGAGGACATTGGGTCCTCCCTGGCAGCTCAGCCAGCAGTAGGTGGGGTCAGCCTGTGTGCTTGCTGCCCCAAGCCAGCTCTCCCATGGGTCACGGAAGTTGAGGTCCAGAGTTTGGGCTCTGGAGTGAGGCTGCTCAGATTCCAATCCAGGCTTTAGCGCTTAGATGAGTGTGGTAACCTTGGACACCCGCTTTCTCTCCTTGTGTCTTGGTTTCCTCATCTGTGGCTAATGGTACAGGATCTGCACAGCAGAGGTAATGTGTCACTCCCTGAGATACTGAGTGTGAGGGCAATGTTGAGTTCCCAGGAGGTGCTCTGTGATGTCATTGCCATCCTGCCATGTTGGTAAGGCCCCTATAAGGAGACTTCTGCTTTCTTGGTTGGATGAGGCCTAAGGGCTTTACACCTGAACTGCTGGGAGTAAGGCCCAGTTCAGGTGGCCTGGGCCAGCACCTGACTTTGGAAAGTGCCCATCACTGGGTTCTCTTGCCATGTGTGCAGAGCTGGGGGCATTGTACCTGCCCAGGAGCTGTCACCTGCTCATCCTCTCATTCCCCTCTCATGCTTTCATCTCTGTAGCATGAGATAGCCTTGGATTCAAACTAAGACAAAACACTCCTGAGAATCTGACAATTCAGTTGGGCCTTGGGTGGCTGGGGGAAAGACTGTGCTTCCTCCCCAAATCAGTCATACTCCACAAAGCATGAATCCATCCTCCTAAGACCTCTGTGGGTCAAGTCCTCTTGCTCTGACAAATTAACATCATTGATCCTTGGAGGCTGCCCACCCTTTCATGGCCTAAAGAGTGAGGAGCACTGATAAGTTCTACAACACCAGCCTATTGAATCAGATTGCTCTCCAGCTCAAGACCCGTCAATGGCTCCCCATTGTTCTTAAGGGGAAGCCCAAGCTCCTTAGCCTGCCTCATGAGACTTTTTATGACCTGGCAATGCCTGCTTCTCTAGGTGCCTCTCTCCCTACCCTCTGCCCTCCCACCCAGGGCCCGTGTTATATTGAGGTACTACCCACCAAAGCCTGGCTTCCCATTCTTTTGAATCTTTCACATAATATTCCTCTGCAACCAACCATATGCCTTATATTTCCCAAACACACATGTACCCGCACACACACACACACACACATACACACACACACTCCTCAGCTAGAAGCAGCCTGACTTCTCCCTGAGGGGTCTCTTCCTTCAGGCCCCCCCAGTCCCTCTGCTTTCAGGGTTGCCTTTTCTCTTGTCTTCTCCTTCCTTTCCCTGGGCCCCTGGCCATGAGTGCCTTGGGCTGGGAGGGTTTCTTCTTTCTGTCTCCCCAGTGGACAGCCTGGTGCTTGACTAGACAGGCCACCGGGGAGCACTGACCGAGCTGGCTTCTCTCTGGAGAGAAGGAGCTATCCACGTCTATTTGTTCCCTACTTACCCAGGCTTTCCACCAGGCCATCACGTCCTCTTTGCTGCTGCTTCTGCCGGGGAGACGAAGGTGACCTGGTCAGGTGTGTTCCTCTCAATTTGGAGACTCTGTGCTCTGGCCGCTGCTCCACACAGATGTGCAAGCTGCTTGGGCTTGGGTGTGATGGTGCAAGCCGGCCCCAGGCCCCACCCAACACCAACCCTGCCCCTGCTCCTTCCCCTTCCCCCTTTGGCTCTGCTTGGCTATGGTTCCCTTCTGGCTCCCAGGCCCCACCCAGGCACTGCCTGGGCCTGCCCTATGAAATTATGCCACTCACTGCCAAATGCTTGGGCTGTGGCTGTTATGCAGACTGGAAACTCTGAGTTCTAGCTTTTCAAAACCCACTTAGTAAACATGACTGTAGTTTCACATGGTTTTAAAGGGCACCACGGATCCCTTTCATTTATTACAGGGCTACACAATTAACATCGTGGTAGGGAGCTCAACAAAGGACCGAAGTAATAGCAGCAGCTTCCACTCCTTGGGGTGCCTCTCTGTCTAGATAGCTCCTAAAACACTCCACGCATTCTTTCCCCTTTGATCTCTGCCACAGTCCTAAGAAGCAGGTATGAGTTCCATGCACTGTAGTAAGAAATGGAGGCTCTATGTTTAGATAATTTCCACAAATCACACTTCTTATGAGAAGCAGCGTTCTAACTCATTAAGCTTCTGACTTGCCAGGCCTGCTCTGTGTTGACCCTTCAGGGAACACTAGCTGCTAGGGGAGGAGAAATTTCCCTGGATAAGGTTAATTTTTTCTTCTTGGATTTTGCCCTCTCTGGGGCCCCTGCCTAGAATGTTCCACAGCACCACTGTCTCCACACTGCCTCTTAGCCTACCCTTCAGGGTCAATCAACATCTTGCCTCAGGGACTACCTGGCAGCCCTCCATTCTGGGGAGGCTTGCCTGGGGCATCCAGAACCACCCTAGAGCCTAGAGACTGAGTGAAAACAGGCCCTCAATGGTGGAATTGCTACATAGCCAGCGAAATTGTCCAGTAGAACAGATAAGAATTGTTCTGTGATGCGAGACACCCCAGTTTCCTAACACTGGCTCCAGTGCTCTTTGCTCTACACATGCAGCATTACTGAGCAGTTGCTCCTGGAAGTGTGGGCTGGGGTGGGCGGAAGAGGAGCGGGGCCAGCATGTAGAAGGGCGGGAGGCACCTGTGCCCTGGGTGTGCAGCCATTACTGGGAGCCACTGTGAGAACTGGGCATCAGTCACCATGCAGTGCTGCTACGTGCTATCAAAAGAGGAAAACTGGCCTTTACCTGGTCACATGAGCTGATAAAGGGCTTCTTCCAGTTCTTTGAGTGACCACCCTCTTTGGGACCCCTGTAGGTCAGAACTGAGATGCTCTTTCTGGCAGGGATATCAGGTTGCCATGGCAGGCTTGCCATGCCATGCACTGTGGGCTTAGGTGAGTGGGGAGTGGGAACCCCCAGAAGGGTCTCATCAATATCTAGTTATGAGGATGATGCTTGATAGGTCACCACAGTACAAGGGCCCCAAAGAGAGGCTGGACCCTGCAGTCAAGACAGGCCATAGAGCTTGTGCAGAGAGGCAGATGCAGCCCTGTCCTCTGAGGTACAGCAGGTCTGTTCCTCACCAGCATCCATGCCCTATTCTCAGGCCTGTTCTCACCAGCTCCTATAGCCAGAGGGTCCTTTTCCAAGATCATTCCTTGCTTGACTTCTGGGACACCCAGGACCCCTTGTTATTCTTTCTTATCTCTTCTCTACCATCCCAATTGTCCCTGTCCCCATTCATGCCAGTGATTCTAAACCTTGGTTGCCCTTTGGGTTATCCGGTCACATTTGAAAACATCCCACCCCAGAGACAAGAGTACCAAGGTTCCCACTAGCTTCCTTAGAGACCCCTTGGTTTGTAGTTCCATCCTAGGGTCACCCATTGGGTCCCATGTCCACTCTGGAAACATTCATCCACGCACTTGTGCCCACATCCTGCCCTTGTGCTTATCTTTCCCTCTTGAATGACCTTTCCTCTCTCCTGGCGAGGCTTGCTGGCCCTGCCCGTGGGCCTCCACCCCATCAGAAGTGATCCTCTTCCCCTAGAATACCACAGTAGGGGTGGCTAAAGGACACAACTGAGCTGGGGAGGGAGAGGGTGCCCAAGGCCATGATGCTCCCTGGGCCCTGCTTGATGGACCGTGGGCCTGGGTGTCATGCAGAACTGAGTCCAGATGAGCTGAGCCCCAGGGAGACCATGTAAGCACTGTGTGTGGGGTCCACATGGGTGAAATCACCAAAGCCTGTGCCTCCCACCACTCAGGGGGATACTGGGAGGACCACATGCAGTGAGAGGCTGCTGGCAGCTGGCACAGTGCCTGGGCTAGCTCGGTACCTGGCCAGAGTTATTGTGAGGAATGTTGTGACCCTTCAAGGTCCCTGCTGCACAAGTCCCTCGTGGCACAAAGCATGAGGGTATCTTTCCAACACTCAGCTGAGTGCAGGTGACGCTGGGCCTGCAGCCCTGGCTGAGAGTACAGACTTCCAGCCAAGCCAGCCAGCGGCCGTGCAATGCATGCTATTTAGGAGGCCCAGCCTAGCCTGGGTGGGAGTTGGGAAGCTGCTCTGAGGAAGGGATATTTCTTTTATATATATATAAAGGGATATTTCTTTTATCTATCTATCTATATATATATAAAACATCATTCTTCATTTTTGTATAAAGTATGCTTTCTCCTCTCAGGGGTAGTCCCCGTGAGATTCCCACCACCAATTCACCCGTGTCCAGTCACTATAGTCCTTTGTGCTCTTCCCACCCCTGTTTTGATCCCTCTTCCTCCTCCCCCTGCAGAATGTCTCTGATTTATAGTTGCCTGTTGATTTTGATTTTTAATTTATTACAATTACTTTTTTCCCCGGATCCCTTATTTAGTTCCTCTACATTCCTCCTATAAGTGAAACCATCCGATATTTTTCTTTTTCTTTCTGGCTTATTTTACTGAGCATAATCCAGAAGGGATGTTTCACTGCCTGACACATCATCTGAGCTCTCTTGGGGTGGGGCAGGGGAGGGCTAGCAGGAAGGCAAATGAGGCAAACAGTGCCCATGGCCCATCCATTTGAGATGAGTGTGTAAATGCATGTGGACACTGCAGGCCTCCAGGACACCATGGCCTGTTCAATTTAAGAGTCATGAGGGAAAGCCCACCTGGGACTTCACTCTAGGGCTCCCTGGGCCATGCTGAGGCAGGGGCGCCTCCCTTCCCCTGTTCTACTTTTCCCCTTGCTGGCCTCATGGGAACACTTCCTGGGGAAGTCACTAGACATACTCATGGCTCCGGTTCTTCTCTGGCCAGTGGGTCTGAAACAACATCTGTGTGGAGCTGACAGTCAGGGTGGAGCTTCTGGAACTCAAGAGGATTTTGCAGAACCAGAACCAGGTGGTGTCATCATGTGTATGTCAGTTATATCATGGGAGTGATGATAATTGCACAGTGAGTAGAGAAGGGAATCAAGATGAAGACAGGAACAGGGCAAAAGTGCTGAGCTGGGAAGGTCGAGGGGAGAGCAGTTCAGGTCACCGTGGTGGTTTTCCTTTCAGACACTGCCAGGCACACCACAGTGACGGGCGACGAATAGGCGATTGGATTTGCTGACAGGGGCTCACCCTGGTTAGCAGGGCTTGTGTTTGGAATGGGGTAGAAAGGTGAATGGGGTAGAAATGGCCGAGAAAGGTGATTTTAAGGGATGAAGGGGTTGGCTCTGTTTCAGTACTCTTGGAGTGATAGAGATGGAGAGTGTGAAGACACAGGAGGGAGGAACAGAATAGTGACATCGGGTTCATAACAAGGCGTGGGGAGTGGGAGGTAGGGCACAGGTGGAGACTTTGACATTAGGAAGGAGAGCAAGAAGCCAGACCCTAAGTTGCTCTGTGATGGTATTGAAGAGAAAGGAGTAGAACACGAAGGTGTATCAGAAAAGAAAGGGCCTTCCTTCCATGGGATCAGGCATTATTTTCGCCTATTTAGCAGGAAGCAATATCATAGGCCAAGTGTGGGGTGAAATAGTCATTGTGGTATAAAATTAACAGAAGGACCTATGTCCTTTCCAAGTAATTTTTAAAATATATTTTGGGTAGTTTTTGAGGAAACTCCATACTGTTTTCTAGAGAGGCTGGACCAGTCTACATGTCCGCTGACAGTGCATGAGGGTTCCTGTCTCTCCACATCCTCGCCAATACTTGTGGCTTCCCATCTCTTTGATATGCCTCATGCTCACAGGTGCGAGGTGGTGTCTCATTGTGGTTTTGATTTTCATTCCCTGATGATAAATGATGATGAGCCTTTTTTCAGATGCCTGTTGTCCATCTGTATGTCTTTTTGGAGAAGTATCTTTTTAGAACTTATACGCACTTTTTACATTGATTGTTTGTTTTTGTTGTTGAGTTGTATGAGTTCTTTATGTATTTTGGAAATTAACTCCTTATAAGAAACGTGATATGCAAATATCTTCTCCCAGTCCATAGGCTGTATTTTTGCTTTTGCGGTGGTTTCTTTCATGGTACAAAAGCTTTTTAGTTTGCTGTAGAACCACTTGTTTATTTTTGTTTTTATTTCTGTCAAAGACATCCATGAGGTTTTGCCTGTATTTACTTCTATGTGCTTTTTTTTTTTCCTATTTTTTCTCTCTCTATATTGTACATCATTACTCATTTTTCTACAGTTTGCTTTTTCGTCTCAGGTGTTGGCCCCATAAAATTCCCACCACGAAGTCACCTGTGAACCATCACCATAGTCTTTTGTGCTCTTCCCGTGCCTGTTTTAATCCCTTTCCCTTCCCATCCCCTGCTGAGTGTCTGTGATTTATCGTTGCCTGCAAGTTTTATCTTTCTTCCCCAGCCCCTCCGATCCCTTATTTGGTTCCACTATATTCCTCCTATAGGTGAAACCATCTGATATTTTCTATTTTTTCTCACTTATTTCACTGAGCATAATCCCCTCCAGCTCCATCCATGGCATGAGTTTATCTTTCCTTTTGAATTAATATTTTTGTGTCCTTTGGGTGGATTCCTAGGAGTGGAATTGCTGGGTCATATGGTAGCTCCATTTTTAGTAGTTTGAGGAATCTCCACACAGCTCTCCAT